GGCCGTAAATAGTATCAAAATCGGCCTAAAATCGGCTATCCGATTTTAGACCGATTTGGACTATTTCGACTAGTGTAATAGATGTTGAAAATAAAGAACAAAACTATATTTTGTTATCTCTCACAGATGAAAATTCATTTATTTCAACTGTTATAGACGTTAGATTAGCCCAAAAATTTCAAGATGTAAATAATACATCACTATTATTTCTGAATCTAGCATACAAAGCATTTATATAGTTAATAGTTAAACATCACTTTTCTGACTCTGTAGCAAATAATTTTATTAGTATATTCAATAATTTTTACATGGATTCAACAGCTACTTTACTTTCAAATGTGAAAGCAGCCCAAAAGCTATTAGATTCAATACAGATTTCTCATGTTCTGTATAAAAAAACAATTGTGATGAAATATGATCAAATTCAGTATGCATTTCACCATCAAACAGTTTTTGATGCTATTAAAGAGTTGCTAGATAATAAAGAGATATTCAAATATTGTATATTCAATTATATACCTAAATATATAACTAATAATAAAGATGCAGAAAAAAAATATTATAGGAAGCAATACAATTGTGAATAGTAATGTCATATACAATTATTAATTTATAAAGGAGCTAAGATACTTTTTATCATTCTTTATTCTGATGCAATGACATGTGACACACTTGGAAAGATATTGGAACATCCTGTATTTTTAACTTTAGGTAACATACCATTTTGGCATTGCAATAAACCAGACGCCAAAATTTTACTAGTATATTTACCTAAAATTAAAGCATCCAACGAACAGAAAAAGCAATGTAACTTTGCTTTGGTAAAGCACTACTTTTTTCATCATTCAATGGAGATTCTCGTTGAACCAATTAAATCAGGAGATTTTAATTTACTCACAAATAATGGTATAATATAGTGTTATCCATTTTTATCTATTATACTTAGAGACTTGCCTAAGCAGCATGCTATGACTTTGACTTTTAATTGCAATATGCTATGTCATGCATGCACAATATTAAAAAGTGAATTAATAATCCGTTAATTGATCATTCAATAATTCAACTATGTACACTAACAATAATACAGCATATATTGCAAGAGAGCCTTACTGTGGTATATTTATTACAGAGTATTAAAAATTCATTCTGAAAATTACCGTAAGTATTTCTTTGAAGTTAATTAAATACAATTACTAGTAGATACTATATATTTATAATATAATTAATATAATTATTTTAAACATAGTTAATGTATATTAAGCATGCCTGCCGGACAGGATGCATCATCTAGATCTTGGTTTGTACAAATATCAAGTTGAATTTATATGAGATTTATTAAAAGAATAGTGTAGTGTGACAGTGTAATTGAATTTGATAATTGTCTGAGAAAGATACCTCACTTTTCAGTCTTTATTATTCAAACATGGCCTGAGTAATATTAAACGATTCATAGCAGCAGAATTTTAGGCAATGATATGCCAATTTGTATTTGTTGTTAATGGCATTATTGTTTCGTTACATACTTCTAATTACACTGTAAACCAGGTGAAAAGTATAAATAAAAAATTAGTTTAGTTATATGTTAATTAGAATAAAATATACATCTTTTTCCATAAAGATGAATTTACAGAATCAGATTTAAAGACATTTAAGGTACAGTAAATTCAATGTATATTATAATAATATATATGTTTGTATGCATTGTATATATAAATTAACATTTATTTTATTTACAGTCACTTATTATTGAATGGGCTAAAGGATTCATAAAATTATTATCATTGTACTCATTATCACAATTGCAATTACTGAAATTGCACAATTGGATTTGTCATACTACAGTAGCAATCACTGAATATGATGCAATTAACAACTTTACAATAAAAATATACAAATCCTTGTATAAGAAATTTGTAAAAAATCCTTACAAAATAAGTAATAAATGTAATGCAATATCGCAAATATTATATACTATAAGTAAAATTAATTTATCATGATAATTATATTATTAATAATGTTAATATAATTTATTTATAATTAAGATATAATAACAAAATATAATTAAATATTTGCTTCAATTTTCTAAACTGACTATTAAAAATTTCAAATATGATCCTTCATCAATAATGAATAGTGAAATCGCTACCTTTAAATTATCACTATTTGATGAATTTATTAAATCCTATAAATCTATCAATAGTTTAGTATCAGAAGTATCAGAGGCATTTGATCAATTCTTACCAGCATTGGATAGGTTTTTTGATCTTTATGAAAAATTAACAGAAAATAAAATGAGAAATAGAGATATACTTATGAAATGGTATAAATCTGCTATAGTATCTAATGGTGATACAATTAGAACAATCTTTGAATAGTATAATCAAGCAATTTTCGATAATATTTCAATCAATATATATAGTGATAAAATTGAGGATTATACTACAAATAACGGAATGTATTTTAAAAAAGTAGGTATTGTTTTTTAATATTTAATAATAATTATGATTACATATTTTAATTATTTTTATATTTAATATTTGAAACATTAGGTATTGATGCTATATTCTATTAAGATTTTATCATTTAATAAGCAATTTGATTTGGCTTTTATGTAGTGATATGATTATAAAAATGCTATTGTGTTAAATAAATATGAATGTCTGTGGTTGATCTTAACTTCTTAATTCGAATTTATATTTGTAGAATCAGTTATAGAACTAATACATATAGTACCATAATTTATAAAGAACAACAAATATTTTGTAAATATTTTATGTTTTAACTTATAGGATAATTTATAATTTATATATAAAATATACATTACTTATATATTGATATAATGAATATTAATAAATATTGCTTAATATTATACATTATAGTTAAAACATTACTAAAATATTGTTAAATGATATACATTAAAATTTAATTATCTTGAATATTGCTAATTCATTAAATAATAATGTATATTACAATATACAAAAGTCACTTAACTTCCTGATGTGTGTTTAGCATTCTCAGCATCATATCTAACATTCTCTTCAATAATCTGTTTCAACTTTACGTTTTCAGCCTTAAGCTCAGTAATACGCTATCACAATGATTCAAGCTCAGATATCATGATTGATAATATTTTATAGAAGATATAAAATATTCAATAATCCATTAGTATATGTACATTTTACTAAGAAAAAATGTAGGTTATAAAATCACTTTCTAAACTGAAATTAGGAAGTTTTGTCAAGAAAAATTTTTATTAATATATGTGAAAAATAAATACAAAGTTTAGAATATAGTCTACAATACATATTATTTTTTGATAATTTTTTTGATTCTAGCCCTCTTGCTAGCAAGGGAACTATCTACATTAATAGATCTTTTAATAACCTTATGATGATATCAATAACCTTTTTCACATTGTTACAAAGTAATTTAGGATTTTTTTTAATGGCTGATTTCGTAAGATTAATCTGATATTTCACTACTACTTGTATAGTAAATACCATTCAGAGTATATATTATAAAATACTACTCTATACCTGGGTTACAATACTATAGATATAATCAAAATAGTCATTTCCAAATACTTGATCTGCAGTCCATTTCTTTTTATTCGTCTGAAATGCTTTATATCTTATTGTTAGAAAGGAAAAAGTTAAGGAGATACAAAACACAATTAATATTATTATCTGATGCTAAGCTTCATGAAAGCATATGCAAATGAAATCTTCATACCTTTTCATATGAAGAGGATCCCAAAGGGATCAGATCTACTAGAAAGACATATAGTTAGTTTCATTCCTGGCAATCTCAAAATTCCAAAGTTCTTAGCATTTTATAACATATGGTTTGTCAATACTATTTGCTTATATGATAGATCCTGTATTACAACTAGTTACTCTTTTACATTTTCTCATATTTGTTTGAGGAAAAAATAATAAACAAAAGTTTATATATTTTCTTTTTCAAATATATATAAAAATTAATATATTACACAAAATCCTAATTGATGATCTATATTTTCTGTTATATAATCTGGCCAAAGACGCTATGCATGGCTCAGCAAAAAATCTTCTGAGCTGATCACTGATCCAGACTAATTAGATCAGTAAAGTACCTATTCTGCTTGATTCGCAGTATTCTATTACCAGTTTTTAATATTAAGGTGGAAATAATACTTCGAGTCAGAGACTGATTAGCTATAAATGTATTAGAATCAAATTGCTAGAATACCTAAGATAGAATTAAATTTTGATTATTAGCATAGAAAATCACTAAATACGTTAATAAAATCAGAAGATATTAAAGTTTCTATAAAATTCTCAACATAAATATTTGAATTAAGTGAAAAGAGCTGATATAGCTTTTTTACTAATTATATAATACCTCTTCAAATTAATATACTTTAAATTAAGACATGAACTAGCAATTTCTTTGATAGTTATATCAGTAATTTTACAAAAACTAAGGCTGAAATGCTGAAGCCTTAGACAAGAATGAATAATATTATAAATTAATAGTTTACGAATATCTGTGTAGTAAGAAATATTTAGATATTCTAATTTAAGCATAATAAGGTAATTATATATAGACCTTCATCATTTATTATGCCTATATTACAGGATATATATTTGTCCTTTTGTAAATTAAGATACTTCAGATCAGGGTATGATTCTGCTATTCATTTTAGTGTTTTTTTGCTAAATTCTGTAGTATAATTAAAATCTAAATAAATTATATTTGGAAACAAGCACACAATGCCATTGAATTTTTTATCTAAAAGTAGGTAGTAGTGTGAATAGGTT